GTTGTGTTTTGGAAAATTATCAAGACACATTTTGCTTTGCAGACTAAATTATTTCTGTATTTTAATTGTTGTAGTGCTATGTAAAAAGTTATTTAAATGTCTAGACTTTGAAAAATATACATACCCAATTAAAACACACTTGAGCAGCATTTTGTACTATTTTTGGTATTTTCTTGTTTAAGTTGAACTGTAAGGTACACAAATCTAATACAATTCAAAACACCTAATAAAAACAAAAAACCCTTCACTATTTCATATCTTATGATTGTACAACATACGCTGATATAAATTATGCTGAAAATTAATATATATCAAATCTAAACAACAATAGTGGCAAATATTTAAGACAGCCTTAAGTAGAAGCAAATTTAAAACACTGGTTAGAAGACAACTGCAGTTAATAAAACATATTTTTGTAAATTATGCAACTACCTTTAAAAGTAATTAAGTAACTTATCTGTGTATGTTTCATGAGTAACAACTATTCAAAGTGATTCAGACAGCTTGAGATTGAATATTTGAAATGCAATGCAACAAAAGGGTAAGTTTCAGATTGTATAATTCTTATTGTGTTGACATGAATGCACCAAAGAAGGTGTTGAAGTAAAATGAGTCCAGTTTAGATTTCAGTTGATCAATGAAAGACTCATCATGCCACACCAGCTCAACAGTTATTGTTGTTAAGGTGTCTGTGACAAAGTCGCACCATTCCAATCCTTTGATTGCCAGCTGACCCTGTACCTGTCAGTAGTATGCATGTGAACATCTCAAAATAGCATGGCCATCCTGTGCCTTGAACTGAGCAACCTGAGATACATCATTCTTCATACTGCTTTTCACCTCAACCAGTCCAAACGGGGGTGATTCTGACGTGTCATACACCTTGCCATCTAGAGTTGCACCAAGATATGAAGTGTCAGGGTGAATAATGAATCCCACATGGAGCACATTTACCCTCAACATCTCAGCATAGCTTGCCAGCACCTCAGACTCCACCTGCTGACCCCGCTTCATGGCGGCAGTTTATCTAGTGGACCCCCTGATCATCCGAGATGCCAGTACTGTGGCAGCAGACTTCTCCTCTGCACCTCCTCTGCACTTCCTCTGCAAGCATCACAGAAACGGCAGTAAGTCTTGGCTGTCGAAGATGTACCCATGCAGGACATCTGGAGTGCTCTCTAGTTCTGGCCTCTATTTCATAAGACATTACCAGTGACATTAGCAGAGACTGAAAATGCATAAGTTGACCGGGTGTGAGCACAAAACACATATTCGGAAGACTATCCAGCATCAAAGGAAGAGAAGGGAAGTCTGGAGCCATGTGGTGCAAATTTGAAAGACCATCTAGGACAAGAGCGATAAGTGGTTGGGATTGCAGAATGTGTAGTTTTTCTCCTGATGCCAGAATGTAAGGATATGGAATAGGTCCTACAAACATCAGTGACAAAATCATAATAAGTGTTGACAAAAAAACATGGGTACAAAAAAATAAACCAACAGTTATACCTGTGTAGGCTCTGTAAAGTGTGGAGTGAAGATCTCTTTTCCCCATAGTTTTGGGCTTCCGCACCACCACGTCACTGACTAGTATATACACAGAAATATATGTCAAATTAAAGAACAAATAAAGGGGTGGGTGAGCAATTTAATAGGACATAATGGGGCTGATTTGGCACAGTTTAGATTTTTACCCTACTTGCAAATACAAATTGATAGCAGTTCAGTCTGTTTTTGTTTTTTTACTGCCTAAAATTTTTTTCCCCAAATAAATTATGAGAGAAATTATATTTGACTCAAGTAACATTGAAATTACAACAAATTTTATATGGCACTTGTAAAATGCAGCTGCGCGACACAAAGGAGGAATAAATTGTTTACATAACTATAGTAGTTATTTTAAGATCATATATATGGCAGTGTATGTAATTTAGTATATGTAGTATATTTAGTATATGGTAGGATATCACATACCGTAGGACAATCTGTTCCACTTTTTCTTCTTAACTGTGTTCTTGGTCTGTGCCATCTTTGTAAATCACTTTTGCAGGCCAGTGCAGGAGGAACAGTTGGCAGCTAGAGTCGGGAGTAGTGTCAAGTCTGGTAAAGAAGAGCACCTACATGATAGCAATACCAGCTGCACAGCTACAGGAATAATCCAATAATTCAGCTTTTTCTTTTCCAACTCCCAGTGAAATCTAAAATAGACAAGTGTTTTAGCAACAAATATATACATCAATACCTATAGCATGTTTAGCTTTAAACAAGTAATAGATTCTAGTTTTAAGGTAAGGTTCAACAACAGAAAAAAAAAAAAAACCCACAGACTATGTTGCAACCGTAACAGAAACAGAAAACAAATAGTAACCAGTGAACAAGAAGATGTTAGAATAAGCTCTGAGTAGTCCAGAAGTCGTACGTGAAGGTTCTTCAGCGGTGAAATATAATACTTGAACTAACAAACAAGAGCCAACAGCGTTTCTGACTGTTTCAAACCTGCAGCTTCCTAATTTTTCATCATGGATCTGAAGCATCTAGCTCTGACAAATACTTTTCCCTCAACAATATTTGACACTACAAGGCATGCAGAAGTAAAGCATAGTTTCAACATCAAGCATCATCTATAGTATCTCATAAAAAAATTTTAGCATGCTGTTTTTCACAAACTGTACTGGAACATACATATCAGAATGTCAAAAAATAATTGTAAAGTTTAAACAATGTTTTTCTCCAACATTCCACGTAATTTAGCAAACTAACTTAGGCTTCATTATGATGTTTGTGTAGTTCTTATCTTGATAGCTGTTGATATATTCTTTGAGGAAGAATTAGTATCCTTTCACACATTTGTTTGTGGGAAAATTTGCCGCTGCTTCGGCATCAGCAAAACACAGTGCTGGCAAATTAAGTAAGGATGACGAAAAGGACCGGAGGAGGAGAGACATTTTCCAGAGTAAATCCGGAAGTGCCTCAGCCCTTTCAGATGCAGCTTCCGGTTGCAGTGAAAAAGGTAGCCAGGACATCTCCTTTTAGCTCTGCAGCCCTCATGTAGCAGTGCCTAATGCGGCTTCTAATGGCTTCTCGGCAAACAGCATTTGGGTCTCGCTGTTGTTTCTTAGGCGGTTAGATTAATTTTACCAGAGCTGGATCAGCTCTCTCTCTGCTGCAGCAGGTGATTTAATGAAATACTGCATTCAACTTGAATTAGAGGAAAAAGAAAAAAAAACCCACTACGATCAGCTCCTTTGTCATGATCACAGCCCCGGTAGCTTCTGTTATTACTCTCTTCATTCACCTGCCGTTCCCTCCCTGCTCTCTAATTATCATTTATCTTATTCACCTGCTTCCTCTGCTATATATACTGTTCAGCCCAACTATCGGGGCCAGATCATTATTTGTGTATTTCGTAGTGTATTTGTTTATTCTTGTTCTCTCACTTTATTCTGGTTATGTTATTGTGTCAGTTAATCATGTTTCTTTAATGAGAGTTAAGTTCCTGGTTCATGTCCTGACTCTTGGAAGCCAGTGGAGTGAGAGGGTTTGGTGATTGTCTCCTGTCTCTGACTTGCCTTGAAAACTGGGTCCAACTATCCTGATTATGACATCTCTCTGAATTGTAGTCTGAATCAGTTTTACAAGCACAGATCTCTCTGGAGGGATTTAGTCACTACTTAGTGTAGCTTTCAGCTGAGAAGCTCTCAGACTACCCTTATGCAGCCGAGGGGCCACAGGGGCCACGGTCTGAGGGTTGTGCCCTCAGAGGGGAGTCGTTACATCATCAAGATTTGATCCCAACACTGGGTTGTCTTTTAGCCTCCTTTAGCCCATTTTATGAGCTAAAGGAAACAATCTGTTGTATTTTTGTCTCTGTCTGCAAACAGTATCAGACAAAGACAGTAGGGGGTGTGGCCTTTGGTCCAGCAGAGAGAAATGTCCCAATGCTGCTGACAACCAGTTCAAAATGTTGGGGGTAACAAACAGACAGATGGCAATGGCTATAGTACTAACTCTCGCTTTTGTAACCCTTGCCATTGAAGGTTGCTGATGACAAATCAGAGTAAAAAAAGGCCTTGGAAGCAAAAAGAGCTCAGCCTGCCTAGCAAGTAGATTGTGATCTGACCCTTCCTGTCAAGAACAACAAGATAATTATAACAACTTTCTTCCTCGGAATCAGTTTTCCTAATATTCACCAGTAGCAATTTGGTAGGTCTGTGCCTGGAGAAATCAACCCCTGTTCCTTGGTTTTCTCCATGCTGATCAAGATGTGGTTCTTCTGACACCAGTAAGGTCCTGTGTCTGCTGTATGTACTCATCCTCATCTGTAATAAGGCCAACTATACATTCAGCCGAGAACATTCTCAGAATTTACTGATTTGCAGACCAGTCAATCAGAGACAGAGCCCTCTGTCCTCACATGCTGCAGGTGGTAACTGAGGTAGTCAAGTATTCAGTGGGACAGACGCTTGCAGCTGCTGAGGTCTTTCAGATGTGTAGTCTCAAGCCACTTTAGTAGTTTACTAATATTCAACTTTAGTAAAATCCCTTGAGCCATATCCCTGACTTTGGCTTAAGGCTGACATAAAAACTCTGTGGCAGCCCTACAAAGCAACCTCTATGTTCTTGTAAAAATAGTTTGTTAGATGACAATTAGGTATTTCCCTTTGAATGTGTACCTAGTTATAAAATGAAAAAGTAGAACAAAAATAAATAAAATAACAAATATATATATATATATATATATATATATATATATATATATATATATATATATATATATATATATATATATATATATATATATTTGTCATTATAACAATAGCAAAAAAAAAAAAAAAAAGGCTGCTCAACCAGTTGAGCTAATTCAAATAATGCCACACCTGGAATACCGCATTGTTCACATTATTACGCAGACAATTTACATCATTACGTCCTGATGTCACAGTACCTGCTCTGTGTGAATATAAAAGCTTCTTTGGAAAACTTGCAACAGTCATAACCAGAGAGAGCAAACAGATATAATCTCCTGGAGTGAATTTTATTTATTTTGAAGACATCATTTGTAAGTAACTCATATTTAACTAATATCACTCTCTATATGTTCTAAATATTTTTCTTTCTGAAGTAGCAATGATTTTGTTCATCTTCTTTTAGTCAGATTTTTTTGTTAGCACAGCGGTTCACTGTTCAGTCTGGTACCTCTAAAAAGGCCCCAGTTCTTCTTATTTGTATTTAAGGGCTCTGTACACATATTTCAGATTCCTTTGAGTGTTCAGAATTTTATTTTTGTTCTTAATGTTGTGTGGTGAGAATTTTGCATTTGTGGTCTTTTGTGTGATCTTTTTTGTGTGCTGTATGATGGACTGGTGACCTGTCCAAGTTCGACCCCATCTCTCGCCCAGTGACCACAAGTGATTTGCAACTACCCCCTTCCACCCCACTGGACAGAGTTACATGAATACAGTATTAATGTTAATGTCAGCCTAGTGGTTAGGGCATAGGGCTTTGAATCCTGAGGTTGTGAGTTTGATACCCCACTACCACAGACTGCTACTCTGGGTACCTGAGCAAGACCCTTAACCCCACACTGCTCCCTGGGCGCCGCACAATGGCAGCCCACTGCTCCCCAAGGGGATGGGTTCAATGCAGAGAATGGATTTCATTGCTCTGTACTTGTGACAGTGTAATGACAATAAAGTTTAATTCTATTCTAAAAGGTGTTAAGTTAATGTCTTTTTAGATGTTAAAGAAGTCAAAAGCATGATAAAAGAAAACAACCTTGTCTAGAAATTACATCAGATTTTTGTTATTATTTATAAAGTTATAATGGGTATGGACATGGGCTGAGAAATATAAAGATATAATAAAATAAAATGAAATATTGACACTTGACTGTCTAAATCAAGAATGAATGAAAAAGCTGAGAGAGAGAAACTGTAAAAAAGGAAATAATGAAGAAAATCTCCACCAGTGGTGATGAGGATAAGTTTGATATCATTTCCAACTGTCGGGATAGAGTGACTTATTTTATAAATTCAGAGTTATGTAAAGTATATTTAAATGCAATTATTTTATTATTTAAAAGAAAATTACTGAACATATATCTTTATTTCAAATAGGAAAGAGAAATCCAGCAACCATGAAGAGAATATCGACGGTCATGATTCTTTTTGCGGGTAAGTTTCCACTTATAAATATATAAATATATGTATTGAATTTTAATTGTAAGAAAATGCTTTAAAGGGATCCACAACTAGTTGAATATGTTGGCCTTAATATGTTTTAGATTTCCTTTTTACTTAAAATTAGCTGTTTTCGATACATAAAATCTCATAATTTCTTCTAAAAAAATTATATATCACTTTTTTTTCTATCACAAACCATAATTTTCAAACATGGAGGTTGTCATTTATTTTACCTGCATATTTCATGCTGGGTTGACGATGTGGATAGGTGTTACTGGAGTAAAACCTACAGAGTAAACAGAGGAAGGCTAACATTACCCAAGTTGTTTTTTATTGTATTACTTTTTAATGGTGTAAGTTTACGCAATGCAATACTGCAATGCAGATACAAAGTTTTCATAAGAAATTATACATGTACATATCTGTTAAATAAAAAAATGTGATTGGCTTGCGCTCTTTAAAAAGCTATATATGGAAAGCTACGGCATTTAGTAGAAGCTAACATGAACTCAAAATCAAATCAAAAGACAATAAATGACTAACAATAAATGACTATTTTAAAGTGACAGTGAGCATCTTTCATTGTCAGTAATGGTACATTCACCTGTACAATGCACATGTACAATCTCCTACTGTTAGCCTCCAGTGTGCGGCATTACCACTGCCTGTGTATCTCGCCATTGTCTCCTGCTGTTCTTTTTTGAGCTCCGGAATGCTGGCTCACCTCTCTGTCCAGGTCGTCCTTCACTTAAGCCAGGCATACACTGTACAATTTTTTTCAGTCGTTGCATGCAGCTGCAGAGTTCACAGCTCACGATGCATGTCTGGCCCAACGCTATGATCTGTTCCACCCATTTCACCCGCACCCCTGCTATGCTTTTGTGTTTTCATCTGAGAGGAAGAAGAGTCCTTCTTTGCGCATGCACACTGAGTGATTTGACCACAACAGTCGACTGAAAATCAAACATGTTTGATTTTCTCCCGACCTCACTATTCCTGATTGGAAGGTGGTCGTGAGAGGCTGATCACCCCTCGTGACCCCCTGTACACCACTCAATGCACGATGCACGGTCAGGCTGAAACTAGGACCGATGGAAAAATTCTTGCATGACTGGAAAGTCAGCCCAGAAGGGGCAAAAAATCGCACAGTGTAAGCCTGGCTTTAATTAGAATAGTTTCAGGTCAGACAGAAGTACATCTGAAATTGACCATCATTGAAACACAATTCCTTGAGAAGGTGGTGGTAGTCTTGAAACTGCTTTATAAAAATCAGGTTTTCTGAAATAAAATAAAGCACAATGACTCCCTCCATTAATCCAAGTCCGCCATGTTGACGTGGGATTGGCAAACGCAGACTTGATAGACCTTGTTGTCCACTGTACAAATTATTGTTCCTCACCAAACGAATTGATGGTGAAATGTTAGGTATGAAGCTGCAGCACAAAATTGTGATTTTATTAAAGATTTTTGCGTTCTTCATGAACACATTACCTTAACACTATATTTCAAAATCTCTCATGAAATGCTTGGATTCAGAAGATTACCAAAAAGAGCTTCTTGAAGCAAATGGAGCACTTTTGGTCCTCCTAATTTAAATGACCTTTTGTCATTTGTAAATTGCAACCAAATTTTATGGGGTCTTGTAAATATAGGGTAATGAAGCTTGCACAAAAGGACATAGCGTAGTTAAGTTACCCAGAATGAATGAAATCATAAAAAACATGTCAACTAAACTTGACAACAGACAATTAAAAAAAGCAATATTAAATTGAAAATGTTAGATCTACTGTAATGAATTTAAACTGATAGTAAATATTTCTCAAGTAACATAATGATTCCCTTTAATCACTAATATGTAAAAAATATTTCTTAAAACAGCTATAGGAATACAACAAATGCAGTGGTCCAGTTCGACCACAGCTGCTCCAACAACTACAACAGCTGCACCCACAACTACCACAGCTGCTCCAACAACCACAACAGCTGCACCCACAACTACCACAGCTGCTCCAACAACTACAACAGCTGCACCCACAACTACCACAGCTGCACCAACCACCACCACAGCTGCTCCAACAACCACAACAGCTGCTCCCACAACTACCACAGCTGCTCCAACAACTACAACAGCTGCACCCACAACTACAACAGCTGCTCCCACAACTACAACAGCTGCACCCACAACTACCACAGCTGCTCCAACAACTACCACTTCTGCTCCAACAACCACAACAGCTGCTC